CCTAAAAATTGCTGTCCACCAACGTTTACCATCCAACCTGCCAGAACTGGAGAGGCTCTGCAAGGAGGAATGGCAGAGGATTCCCAAATCCAGGTGTGAAAAACTTGTTGCCTCTTTCCCAAAAAGACTCATGGCTGTATTAGATCAAAAGGGTGCTTCTACTAAATACTGAGCAAAGGGTCTGAATACTTAGGACCATGTGATATTTCAGTTTTTCTTTTTTAATAAATCTGCAAAAATGTCAACAATGCTGTGTTTTTCTGTCAATATGGGGTGCTGTGTGTACATTAATGAGGAAAAAAAATTTACTTAAATGATTTTAGCAAATGGCTGCAATATAACAAAGAGTGAAAAATTTAAGGGGGTCTGAATACTTTCCGTACCCACTGTATATTAGTACAATATAGTATGTTTTAGTATTTATTAATATTTTGAGTTAGTTTGTATTTTCATATTTGTTGCTTTCCTTTAATTTAAATGTAGATGTGTTTAAGTATAAACTAAATTTAAATTCAAATCAAATTTGATTTCTAAACTAAATTCAAAATTTTGCGCAAGAGTTGGAGAGCTTCAGTAAGGTAAAACACTGCAGCAGATCTGTGTGTGATGCTGATCATGCGACACTGAAGCATTCTTGTGTCACAGCTGGCATCCGAGTGCTTTGAGGAGGGAGAGCGAGCGCTGCGAGAAGCCAGACAGTTGGAGGCCAAACATCAGACACGACTACGCAATTAATCTGTGAACGATTACAGACTGATGAGGCTTATCACACTCCCTAGTGTGTAGTTATCATAATCGACTGTTGAAATCCTGCCCTCTGCAGTCTGAGATTAAATGGCACGGAGGAACTATAACATTGTTCACTTTTGAAATTATTTTTATTTTCCAGGTGATGAACAATAAAAACATTGACAGCCAATCAGAATCCATCCTGCATTCAAAGCAGCAGCGTGCACTCATATTAACACAGAACATTATCGCCCACCGACTCCCTCCAATCATGTGACCCACTTGAACACCTTGCAAAATCTGCGCCGAGAAATCTTTCACCCTCACAACAAATTCACACTAATAACTATTACAATGACTGGATTAAGAAGTAAATGTGACGACTTTTACCCATAATTCTTCAATAAGCATATCAATAGATTCTTACTATTCCTACAGTGTAGCAATGGGCACAGTATACAAATGGTTTATTTGCAATCCCTGGAGTCCATTTGCTGAAATACAGTACAGCTAGTGATTTTGGGATAAATTAAATGGATTTGTCTTTTTAAACACACATATATAGCTGCATTACAAACACCGCAATTGTGCTTTGAGATAAGTCACAACAGCGGATATCTTTGATAAACAAAGATTGGTTGTGATTATATTTAGTTTTATTTGGGACTTGACTTTTTTTGCCCCATTGGTTTCCAATAGAAGGAACCATGAGAATTCACAGAATGTTTAATATGTCAAATTATCAGATGAAGTGTACCAAAATGCCTATTAAATCCACAGTAACTGTAGTCAGCCGCATAAGCCACTAACATTATTAGGAAGTCCTTTAACAACTTACACTTTGAAGTAATGCTTAGTCATCATTGCCTCCGAGCAAATATTAACCCTAAATTGGCAACATCCCACCCATACTATTGGTTTCTGGCCATTTCTCCAACAAGACAGACTTCCTGCAGGAGGAGCAGTACTTCCCAGCCACTCTGAAGAAAACCCTCACACAACACTTGACCACACAGAGACGGGAAAAACTTTGATATGATTTATTTGATATATAAACATTGTAAAGAGAAGTTTCATGCATGACGTCAACCTCCAGCATTCACAGTCACCGTGGAGCGCATCTGCAAAAATTGAAAAACGAGTCACTTCAGTTAAATTAGATTTTTTTTTTTTTTTAGTTAAAGCAAAGAATATTTAAACAAGCCTCAGACTACCAAAACTCCACACGTGTTTTCAGACAGGGATAACTTCTCTCATCATAGGCTTGAATTAATAACCTTGGGTCAGATTTTCTCTTTATAACCGACTAATCCGACCAAAAAGCATTGAATTACACCGTGAATTTATAGTAAAATAAATATACGTACAGCGCTTTATCCAAGTGAATCAGGACACTTCCTGGTGGTTTCAGCTCCATCTGTAAGAGAAAACATGCTTCAGATGGGATGTCAAAGGTTACAGAAGCCCGATCATCTCGGGAAGACGCAGCCAAACAGGTTTAAGTTTTGAAAAGAGATCTACCTGATCAGTGCTGAATCAGCATTTAGATAGACGTTCACCTGTTCAGAGACAATCACTTGATCAGAACCTGCGGTCTCCAGAACAGACCCATGCACTTTATATCTGCACGTTGTGTCTCAGAAAGATTTTGCTTTGCCATCGTCAGTTATCGCATCAGACGGCACTTCCTATACAGCAGTTTCATCACAGAACACAACTCCACGATCCATGCCTCATGCATTTGAGCAACTAACATGGTTCTAAATATAGAGTAGATCTAAAGCTTGAAATACCCCAGATTGAGTTCAGTAATAAACCATGTATAAACAAACTTAACCAAGTTGAACATCTAATGACTCAAGCTCTTAAAACGTCGTAATACACTGAAAACCCACCATTTTCATGAACTGCGCCTAATTATCACACAGTAAATCAGCCAGTAGAGAATCATGACCAAGTCACATTGACTCCAGCCTGCAGAAAGACAAAGAGAAACCCCGTGAAACACTGAACACCATTACTCAGCCTAAAATCATCGTCACATTACTAAAAACGACTTTGACCGACAGACTTACGTTTATCATGGTGGTTTGTAAGCGCTGCGATGGGATTCTCGCGTGTAATTCATCATGAACGTGCTTTATTTGAGCGGCTCTCTCCTGTATGTCTGAGGCAGCACAAACACGCACGTGCTGCGGCGAGAAAGAGAGCGAGCAGCAGAGAGCGTCCGCTTTTATAGCGCTGGAGCGACACGACCCACGTGACTAGGGCTGCGTGCCATTCGGTAGTGATCCTCCCTGTGCCCTGTTCCCTTCGAAGCTGAGTTTTTAGAGGGTTGAAAGGTGTAGCGTTCAAAACAACGGTCACTCGGAACTCACTTATTAAAGGGGTCCTATTATGCTTTTTTCACTTTTTCAACTTTAGTTAGTCTGTAATGTTGCCGTTTGAGCATAAGCAAGATCTGCAAAGTTACGAAGCTCAAAGTCCACTTCAAAAGGAGATATTTTTATTGAACAGAAATCACTTTTCAAAAACTACAACGAACGACTCGTTTGGACTACAACGCACATTTCCCGGGATTTGTGATATCACAAAGATCGACGAATGGGACGAGACCTGGTTGAGCTGCACTAGAGAAGGCTACGAGTGTTACATTTAGAGCATCGTTGCGCTCTCACACTACTTTAAATGAAGGAAATTTATTTCTAAATTTGGAAAGTAATTTGAAAAAAAAAAATGCTTTTACTTGTTTTGTTTTGTTCAATGTTTGAGGAGCTGCAGCGTGCCTACAGCAGGTATCTATCAGAGAAAAAAAGGTGGAGGATATTAAAAACAAATTTTATCCGTTTTTACTGAGGCGAATTAAGGTAAGTTGTAAACACCACATCTGCGCTTGTGTGTACGTTACATCTGCCGGCGCCGGCATTTTTCAAATTAACAACGGTTGTTCACGGCGACGCAAAGAATTGTGGGTTATCTGTAGCAGCGAAGGATACACCTCATGCATCCTCCGAAATCCTGTGAAAGAAGGTCGCATTGGAAGGTCGCATTCGGAGTGTCCTACTTGCTTTTCTGAAATGAGACAGCCTCGATGACGTATGCAGCCTTCGAATGCGACCTCCGGAGGACGCAGCCTTCTAAATGAGACACAGCTTATGCTAGCTTTCCCAAGGCAGACAAACTTAGAGTGGTTACAATCAACCGATTGTGCCAATCACAGCACACACTGGCCCAGCTAACCAATCACAGCACATTTCGTATTTCAGAAGGCGGGCCTTCATTTGATTCAGGAACTATTCCAGCCGTTCATGCCGGACTGGGGAGAGAGGTGTTGTAATAAAATATGTGGAAAATAATGTGTTTTTTCGAACAACCTAGTATGAGAGCCTGTTCTAGTACACCCCCAAAACTAAATCAAGACTTTGTTAAAGAGCATAATAGGACCCCTTTAAGACACGTATATTGTTTGGAATGATCCTACAGCATAGCTTTCATTAGTGTTCTCCTTCCAAGTGCCCTGCGAAGGCAGCATTAATGAGTTTGGCGCGCTGGAAATGCCATGTGGAAACCGTAATGCATGCTGGGAAAATAAAGCGCTTTATAAAATAAAGGTATTAGAAAAGAACAAATAAGTAATTGATCATAATAATAATAATAAACATAAAATCACATTATTGCTACGTAATTGTAATTATACATGTTAAATATATGTTAAAAATGTGATTTATTTATCCACTGCATAATTTAACATGTTTCCACCCCTTATTTAGATTTACAAAATAAAGGTCATTACAACAATGAACAACTAGTCTAAACGAGTGGGTTTTTAAAGAAAATAATAATAATTAACATGTCACATAATTACATATGGGTAATAATCATTTGTAAAAAACGAATTATGTCTAAATCTAATGTATTATGCGAGTTACACAAATGTTCCACGTTTTGATGCACAGATAGACCATATTTTCTTTCCAAAGCATTGTTTTTACAGTAATGCTAATCAATGATGATATTCTGACAAATGTGACCAGTCTGCAGCATCAAGAAGCAGAGTGAAGTGAACAAAACAAGTGTTTGAAAATGGCCGTGCTAACAATCAAGGGAAGATGAAGTTTAATCAGATGTCCAGTCTCACAAATGTTTGTTTTCACCAGTAGCGGTTTAGTAGGCTATACTGGTTTCAAACACTGAGCTTCAAACAATATCTGTTGGTTAACAAGTTAACACAATAAATCCACATAGGTATTAAGACAAGTCAACTGTATAAAGACAGAAGATTTGAACTGAGAGTTTGAGTATTTTACATAGCCTAAATGTCATCAGTTTATATATTTGTTCTCTTTCTCTTTGTGTGTTGTAGCCTAGCTATATTTAGTTCACTGTAGTCTCGCCTACATTATATTAAGATTTTTTTTTAGTAGAGCCGAAAGTCTACTTCATAACTTAAACCTTATGTAGTGCCTGCACTTTTTCTCTCCAAAAGTAATGAGTGATTAAAATGTCTTTATACTGGTGTAAACTAGAGTTGCAGGCAGTGTTCGAATTGAGGGGGGGCTGGGGGTGTCCCAGACCTCCCTTAAGCATTAAGGGACCCCCCATAACACCCAAAAAAATATACTTGGGGGGTCCCCTGGTTTTTCAATAAAACTTTAATACTTAAAATTAAGTTTTGATTGCTGTATTAAAGTTAGACCTGCTTATGTTACATCATATTTTATTTTTACTTGTTTTTACAGCGTTGCTCATTATAACCAATCACGATTCTGTTGAGCTTAGGAATGCAGTAGCCAATCAGAGGCGTTCAGACCAGTCATCACTGAAACCCCAGAGTTTTGTTCTGACTGAAACTCGTGAATTCCCTCATCATAAGCAACAAAGTGCAGATGTAGGTACGATGTAAGTTAGAGATTCATTTATCATACCGTGTATGGACAGTTTCATTGATTATAAGAGGAGTTATGAGTGCTTAAATACTAGCTAGACTGAATGCTCATTTAGAGCGTTCTTTCACTGCTGTTAGAGATTCATTTATCATACCGTGTATGGACAGTTTCATTGATTATAAGAGGAGTTATGAGTGCTTAAACACTAGCTAGACTGAATGCTCATTTAGAGCGTTCTTTCACTGCTTGATTCAGTCTAATAAAATGCATTTAGAATGCTCGCAAAATTCAAGATATGGGGGCAGAAAATGTATATATTTATATAATTTCATATACTTGTAGTTGATCAATATCACATGAAGAGTGCAATTTTTTTTGCAAAAATCACAAATGTGATCGATATTGATTTTATACAACAGTTCTATAAACAATAAGTTAATATTAAGAGACTTACGTTTTAGACACCATATTGCCTATTTCTTGCTCTATTTAAAATTGTTCCAAACAAAGCCACGGTACTGTTTTGCGTCTCTGAAAAACATGATGGTGATTCGTCCCTGAATGAATCAACCGTTTGAATGATTCGGTTCAGTCGCAATGACCCACCTACTGGCGGTTTTAATTTCACATTTTAAAGTACCTTTTTATATATATTTTTAAATAATTTCAAATATCAGTATTCAAAGTTGTATGATTAAAATATAAAAACATCATTTATGCATTTGTAACTGCAGGTTAAACATTCATGCCTTGCATTAAATAGTGTGTATTTGCATCTAAATGCCACTTCAGATGCAGCTTCTGTGTTTCCTCTGTATTGCATGAATTTTGTTGATAATGATTTAAAAAACTTGGACTAAAACATGCTTAAAAACAGCTTTTAAAAACCCATTGCAAATGTTTTATTTAAAGTATAATATAGTAAAGGCTATAAAAAGAATAAAATACCATTAAATATGAAGAGTCTGTTTAATATACGGTTTTTAAAATATTTTATATTAATTTGTTTTGTTTGTTTTATGTAGAGCTTGTAAATAGAGTTCAGTAAGATACTATTAACTACCAGTGTTGGGGGTAGTAACGCATTACAAGTAACGCGAGTTACGTAATCAGATTACTTTTTTAAGTAACTAGTAAAGTAACGCATTACTTTTTAATTTAAAAGACAATATCTGAGTTACTTTTTCAAAAAAGTAACGCCAGTTACTTTGTTTTCCCATTTAGTGACTGACAGCTCTCCTGTCCCCATATTGGGAGAAATCGGGAGTACAGAGGCGTTGTGTGTGCGCTGTGTGAACATGATGCTACTGTAGTTCTAGACTAAATGTGAATGTGCATTAATTCATCCCACTCACAAAAAACGATTTAGTATTCGTCAAAATGAATTAAAACAGTGAAATGCAAACCCAGAATATGATGCAAACCTGCAATAATTAAATATGTTAAATAACACAAATGTATCTAATCCCATTTTATTAACCAATATCTTTGCTGCTGACCTTTGATGATCCAGTTCAACCGTACTAATAAGCAAAAATGACTTTAGAGAAACTAACAATTGTGCTTCATTGTTTTTTTTATTGCTGAAGAATGTTTCTGTTCCTGCGTTCTACTGTACAGACGTGAATTTACTTTTGCTTCAGCCTGAGGTTTATTCATTACACTTTTTGGTGTGAAAGGGCTTTTATATTTGCTATAAATAGAACATCTTATATTAAAAACAATCAAGCCCTGCTCATATTTAAAAAGTTACGCGAAAGTAACGTAACGCATTACTTTCCATAAAAAGTAACTAAGTAACGTAATTAGTTACTTTTTTAGGGAGTAACGCAATATTGTAATGCATTACTTTTAAAAGTAACTTTCCCCAACACTGTTAACTACTAATCATCCTTTTAATTACACAAATGTCTCGTTAAAAATGTCTACAAACTGATCCGATATCAGGAAAAACCATAGACGCTGGTTCAATAGTTCGCCGCTGGGGGGGCGATTTCAGTGAACTTGCATTATTTTCGGGTTCACAGAGATCGCCCACCCCAGCGGCAAACCATTGAAATTTCGAAACGTTTCGAAACAGTTATGACGTAATGAAGCCTCAGTTTACTGAAATCATGGCTGCGCCTGAAAGCTCTAAAATGCTGCCTCCGGAGGCAGCATTCGAAGGCATCTAGGCATGTCCGAATCCAAATTCTGCTTCACTTCCTGTCTCTGGAGATACCTTCTTCTGACTGAATTTTGAAGGCAGCATAACTCCAGCCCTATCGTTTGTTTGCCAACCGCCATAAAACTCCAAAAGAAGGAGAAGAAGAAGAAGAAGAAGGCAGCATAGATGTATCTTTTGCTGCCTTTGATATCCCACAATCCTGTGCGTTCCATTCCGTG